TTTAGAGCTCGTCTCACTGCGTTTTATTTGCGTTTGCATTTTCCCTTCTTTTTCTTTAATGTTCGGTGTGTATTTTTTGATACCCTTGCCTGAGGTTCACGAAAAATGTAACGCATTGAAAGACGCAGCTCCGTTTCAAAATTCTTAATCAGCAACAGTTTAGTCTATATATTTTTTACCAAAATAGTTTTAACTCCCAAACTATCTAGTCCTCTAAAGCTTTGCATGATATGACTTTTTGCTGCAGTTAGACATAAATATGTGGATCAGAATTCTATAACTTTTAGCTTTCATGGACGAAAACAGAGCTTTTGAATAAAAACTTTTGTTATAAATAAAAGAAATTTCATCTAAAAGCTTGCGCAACTCCGAACAATAGGTCAAAAATTGATTTTTTGTATAAAACAAAATTTTCTGTAATATAATTTAATTAAATTTTTGCTCTTGTTTAGTGAAGATCATAAATGAGATGAGTTTTTTATATTACCATGGCAGCGAAATGATATCGATATCCGATCTGGCCTGCAACAAAATGACGTATATATGCAAAGTTTCTTGAGGACAGCTTTATCGACTTGGCATTTGATGCTAATCAGGAATATATATACATATATATATATGTATATATATATATGTATATGTATATGTATATATGCTCTCTGGAGATATCTTCCATTTCCCAATATTTTGCACAATCAAACAAAGTTGTTGTTTTTTTGACAACTTTCCTTGTCAGAGTTATTTAGAAAGTTTGTAATATTTTCATTAGGCATCAGGTTCCAAGTAACTAAAAATAATTCTTTGGAAAATTTCATATGATTTGGTTTAGTTAAGAGTTGCTTTGTCTAGAACTTTGTGAACCTCATCAAAAAAGCAGCCGTCAAATTGTCATGTAAACGCGACCTGCTGCCAGCATCAGTGGAAAGCATTCCGAAGACTATACCAAGTTTTTGCAGTTGAGGTGGGGTTTATTTTCGCTAGTTATTTATTGAGTGGCAGGCACACACACACATACAGAGAGAGCGAGCGCAGAACAGGTGAAAAAACACTTGCAAGTTATGCGAAAACAAAATAAATTTTATAGCAGCCATGACCCCCAACAAACCCAACTTCTACACAATACACTGGCAAATAGTTTAGCTGCAACCGCAGTGGATGGCACAGCATAGCATAACAAAAAATAAAAGAAGAGAAATGTTTTTCGTCTTTTTTTTTTTTTTGTTTTTCGCTTTGCCCGGGAAAAGTAAGTGGAAAAGTTTTTCTGACTTGACTGCGCTGCTTAGTTCTGTTAAAGACGGGGTCGCCGCGTCGCACCTGCTGCCAAATTAAATTGCAAAAATAAAGAGAAAAATAAAAAAAATAAAAGAAAAATAAAAAGAAAAAACATAAAAGAGAAATAAAGCTTAAGCATTGCAGAAAACTCAAACACAATAGAGTGAAACAGGCAACTATGGCTATGACAGACGGGCAATTTCAATAATTTATGATGCCCGGCTTTGAACAACGGGCGGAAATCATTTTGACATTTTCCAGCAATTTTTCTTGCACTTGGAAAAACTTGGTCCTGCCGCTGCAAACGCAAAACATAATTAAGTGTCGTCTTGAGCGTCCGCCCGCCTGCCAGATGAAGCGACAAACAGTTGATGAACAGCAATAGCAAAAACAAAATTGTTTTAGTCGGCAGTGCACGATTAGGAGATACCCTGTATACAGCTACCTTCTACATATTAAGAGACGCTGTGCTTCCTCTTACCTAACACCCACACTGTAAGAAATGCATTCTTGATTTACTTCGGAGCTTATGGTCCGATCTATATGAAATTTTCAGTGCATAAATATGGCACCCAAATGTATATACATACTCAAGCCCGAAGCTCTACACTCTAAAAAAATCTTTTTTTTAAATTTTATTGGGTGTGAAATATTTCAAATCTATCTATATACATCTATCTACATCTATCTATATACAGCTCTTTCATTTTCGAGTTATGCTTAAAACAAACTTGTCTTAAAATATTCATTTATTCATATTATGAAAATGTTAAGAGATTAAAGATAAATATTATAATCTAATCTAGACTGTATACTCAAAGGCATTTCGATCTTGTTGGCAATTTTTGACATGACCTTTCAATTTTGTCGTTCTCCAACACTGACAGACCACTCCAACTGCCGCGAATATAAACGAATAGATATTTCAACTTTAAACGAGCTAACTTTCGAGACTAATATACTCTTCAACACTTTGTCAACAGAGCATTGAAAACAAAAACAATAACAAAATGTTGCAAATGCCAAGGGAGTGGCAACTGGCGAGCAAGAAGCGGCCAAAAACTTGCAATGTGGCAAATAAAGCGGCATGACAAGTGACAAGTGGCAAGTAAACCGTAAGCCGTAATACAAAATGCCACATAATGCTGCAGCCTTTCGCTGTCCTTCTGCTGCTGCTGTTCATACTGCCCGCGCTGTCAACCTGTCAGACTATATGGCTGACGGACAGGCATCGGCACCTGAAGCCATGACAGTTGCCATGTCAACATATATGATAAATTGTACGAAGCATCCCGTCGGCTGCTTCAAATGATGTGTTATGGAAATTCGACGTACGTTGACTGCAAATGTCGCCTGTCACTTGGCCATAACACAGTCTACACGTGTGTGTGTGTGGTCGTGTGTGTGTTTGTGTGTGTGTGTGTGATGTTGGTGTAAACATGCATGTAATGTAATTGCACATTTCGCTATGTGCATGGCAAATAGCTGTTTATTTAATTTGCTAAGTATGGCGTACGCCTTGGGTGTCCATTCACAGTCAGACTGATTTGATGCGACAATCTGTCTAGAAAAAACGGGCGTGAAAAGCTAAAAGGCTTATGAGAAGCGCATAGAAGAGCGCAACTTATTTACAGTTGCTACAAAAAAGCTGACTTTTGTGCAAACATTTTATTAAAGCTGTAAAAATGCACAGAAGTAATTAGAAAATTGCTTATACAAAAACAACTACAAAACACACATTTTAAATTGACATGCATGTTAAAGTAACTGCTAAATTTAATAGCTGCTTTGCTTTTCTCTACTTCTTTTGTGGCTTTTAAAAAAGTGTCATATAAAAGCGTGAGAGCCTTTAATAGATAAATATAAACTTGGAAAATAACCTGTTAGGTACAAAGCAAAATACAATCTAATTTAACATGCATGTTAAAGTGTTTAAGCTTACTCAAACGGCACACTTTAAATAGAAAGTACAAAAGGAGTACGCAGTATTATCTTTTAGACCAGCAAAAAGTCACTTTGCCATAAAAATAATTAAAAAAAAAAAAGGAAACAGCCACTTAGCATTGGCTGACTAATCCATTTGGTATGTGGGCGGCGCAGCAGGTAACCATTAGCAACAACACGAGGCAAGAACTAAGCCAGTAAACTACAAAAAGCAGAGCTTAAAAACTTTTGCAGCTCTTACCAGCATTTATATTCGCCCACTAATGGCAACTGAAAACGTGAAAACGCAATGAGATAATGTAAGCCAAAACCCAGCAAATGCAACAGTATACCAACTCTTGGCTTCCACAGAAACTCTCAAAGTTTTCGCTCAAATAATTGCTTTCACTCGCACTAATAGACATACATTTATAACTCTCAGATCTACTTAACATCCCACGCTCGATGCTAGACAAACAAAATCCCTTGCGTTAACAACGCACAACTAAAAGTGGCATCAAATGTTGTTGTTGTTGCTGTTGCGCTTGTTTTTGGCATCTTAGCAGCTTTGTTGCTGCCACAGTTTTTGCATTCGCTTAGAGACGAGCGCGTGTCACGCTTACTTCTAGATGATAAACCGAGTTTCTGATTTTCGTCCGATTAAAACTTTTTGTAAATGTGTTTAGCCGATTTTAGCAATTCCAACCCCATCTATGTAAATTTACCCGGTCGTCCTTAAATTTTTTTAAAATAGATTTGTGAAAATATTATTAGCTACGTTTTTTGCAAAATTCATCTTGGTTAGAAAATTCAGGGCAAACGCTTAATGAACGAAATTTTATTTTTAGCTTTAATATAGACGTAAACAGTTCATTTTAACTTTTAGCCTTTAATTCGATTTATTGGAAACTTATTTTCATATATCCAAATATAAACTTAAGAGTTCAAGATAGTACGGGTAGATTTTAATTTTCCACGAGCGGGAACTGGATGAAAATTGTAGGCTAAAAACTTGCCACGGCAAGGTCGCAAGGCGAGTACCCGCTGTATGTTTGTATGTGTGTATTTCTGTGTGTATGTATTTATGTCTGTATGTATGGATGTATGTATGTGTGTATGTGTGTATGTATGTATGTATGTATGTATGTGTATGTATGTGTGTGTATGTGTATGTATGTATGTATGTATGTATGTCTGTATGTACATATGTACGTATGTATGTGTATGTGTGTTTGTGTGAATATATGTAATTGGGTATATATGTTTCTATGTACGTATGTTCATATGTTTGTATTTATGTGTATACGTTAGTATATATGTGTGTATATTTGTTCGTATATATGTATGTTTGTGTGTATGTACGTCTGAATTCATGTGTGTATGTATAGATGAGTGCACTTATATATGTATTGTGTATTTTATATATGTATGTTTATGAGTATGCATATGCATGAATGTACATATATGTGTGTGAATGTATGTAAAATAGTTTGAATTTATATATTATGTATGTATGTCTAAGTTAGTATATATTAATGTGTATTGTATGAATGTAAATAAGAATTTAGTTATGTTTGAATGTATATATGCATGTGTGTATGCATATATGTATATTCGCATGTGTGTATGCATGTATATACATATGTATATAAGATGTATGCATTTATATATATAAATGAATGTATGCATATAGTTTGTATGTTTATATGTAAGACCAAGTTTACCTCAAGTTGCGCTGCAAATTTAAAAAAAAAAACGTATTCTTAACTAATGCTCTACTACTCGATTCTCATAAATTCATATAGGGCCAGACTACATGAAGCGCCGACATTCATATAGGAGGAGGCCGCTTCAACTGTAGAGGAGACGGACTCGACTATGGAGAAAGCTTTAATATTAGAGGTGACGGCGGCTTCAACTATAGAGGAGATGGCTTCAACTATAGAGGAGGCCGCTTTAACTATTGGAGCGACGGCCGCCTCAGCTATGAGAAGGGTTCTACTATTGAGAAGGCGATCAGCTTTGAGGAAACGGCGGCTTTATAGAGGAGGCGTGACGGCTTTAATATTGGAGGAGGTGGCAACAATTTTAAATGTGGCCGTTGAAAAACTGGTACGTATTATAAACTATGTTATATTATGGCTTGGATGTTGGCTTGCATGTATTTGAATACATACTTGTATATATGTAAGTAAAAATGTGTGTATCGCTATATATAAAACGGTTTTTCCTGACTGTCTGACTGACCGGAGTATACCCTCAAATATCCTATATAGACATGGGTCAAAATTTCCCACCCGAATAACTCGGTCAAAACTCAACCGATTTTCATGAGGGTTGGCTCTTTATTCATGGTTTGGCTTCTTTATCAATTTGGCATCTTAATCTGGAAACGTTATTCCTGGTCGAAATTCATGTAAAAATTGTACCCTCAAATACGAGGCGTGGTTCTTTGTTCATGGTTTGGCCTCTAGATCAATTTGGCATCTAAATCTGGCAACATTATTCTTGGTCAAAATTCATATAAAAATTGTACCTTCAAATATCCGATATAGACATATGTCAAAATTTTCCACCCCCATAACTCGGTCAAATCTCATCAGACTTGCGCGAGGGTTGTCCCTTTGCTCATGGCTTGGCCTCTAGTCAAATTTTGGCATCTAAGTCTGGCAACATTATTTATTTTATACTTACCGCGGGCAGGGACTGGGTACACCCGCTAGTGTATTTATAAATGTTTCTATAGAACGTGATTCAAGTAATATTTAGCTAGCAAGCTGCGTTGTTAAACCAATTAATTATATCTCTTCTTTTTTTTCTGTTTTCAGTGATGTGTTAATATAAAAGGTCGTTTCCCGCCAACTGATAGATGACGATAAAAGCAACGTGCGTGTGAATTTACAGGTGAGTACGTTATAATGCAATTAGGTTAAATGAAATTCTATTAAATAGTAGAGGGATAGTGCTGGGAAATCAGTGACCCGATGGGGGAAATTATTTAGCCTGTGCGGCCTCATGAGTGCGTGTTGCCCAAATTTAGTACGTGTTCGTGTATTGGCGCGCTGCATGAATCCGAGAAGCGCTCATCTCTATTTTTGTACCATATGCGCTTTGAATTATTTATTATAGCAGAAACAAAAGCAGCCGCAGCAGCAGCAGGAGCAGCTTTTCATTTTGGCAAGAAAGTAATTATGTGTAACGTGGCGTATGCGCAATGTTCGAAAGCAAGAAAATTAATTAGTTTCGGCAGCGGCAGGAGCCAACCTTTTGTGGTTAACAAGCGAGTGCTGATAATGAATCGATTTGCTTGAACAGCAGGCAACCTCCAGCATGCAGCCTGCAGCAGGTGAGTCAACTTAAGCAGATTTCACTGTCTGTTGGCCAGCAAGCGATTCTAACAAACGACCGCAAACAAACATCAATGCCAAATAAATTCTCAAGTTGCTGCTGCTGCTGCTGTTGTTGTTGTTTAAGCTTAAGATAACAGCATGCCTGTCTTGCTGCAGGATAAACACGAATCGAATGTCATTAAAATAAAGACAAGACAAGCAAAAGACAGGAGCGGTCGGGCGGGCGCTGCGGCTCGAGTAGTCATTGGAAGCTGCCGCACAGCCGGGCAGCATCATGTTGAGAGCTCATTAAAACGAATACGAATTTAATGGTACTTAAAGCGGAAATTGCCTGGGAAGTTTCCGCCATGCTAAGCACACAAGAGCAACAACAACAACAACAACAGGGACAACAACAACAGCAACAAATGACGCAGAGCCATGTGAAACCAAACCAAGTCGAAGCAAGTCAAGCCAAGATCGAAGCAAAGCTTTTACGAGCTGAAAACTATTAGTGCCACCAACAACAGTGCGCGTTGCACACACCTACACACACACACACATTCGAGTAGGCAACAGCTCATCTATGTGGACGGTCGCCTCTGTGTGTGGGCGTGTTCACTATTTTTTTTCTTGCCTCACGTTATTGTGTGCCAAATGAAGCCATCGCCATTGCACACCGGCACAAAGCTGATGCATGCTGTGCTAAACAAAAATAGAAAAGAAAAGAAAACAAAAACAGAAAAAAAGCGACAAAGCCAAGGAGTTTAAAATGCCCGACTGCACAATACTCTATCCACAACGTCTTGGCAACAAGTGACTCTTAAGAGGAAACGAAGACTTTAAAGCTATACAAGACTCAGTGTCTTCTAAACTGTAAATATGGGGCTTAAAACTGTAGAGTGCGTAGATTTTGTTCAATAGGCATCTCTTGCTCTGGCGCAGTGACCTCTAAACTGTGCTCCTAAAACTGTTTGAGATATTGATTTTGCTCTGAATGACTCCTAATCTGAAACTATGGGGCAGTGTGCCTAAAACTGTCGATGTAGATTTTGTTCAATAAGCAATCCTTACTCTGGAAGGTGTTGCTCTGCTACAGTTACTCTTAAACTGTGCACCTCAAACTGTTAGAGATATTGTTATTGCTCTGAGTTACTCCCTAACTGTAAATCTGGCGCAGTATCTTTTAAATTGTACATGATGTACAATTTGTTCAATAAGCAATCTATGTTACTTTCGAAACTGTTGGTGACCTCAAAACTGTGCTCCTAGAACTGTTAGAGACATTGAATGTTGCAGCCAGTGACTTTTGAACTCTGCGCAGTCTCTTTAAAACTGAATGATGACGTACATTTTATTCAATTACCAACTTTTGTTTATTTAAAACTATTGTTTTGCAGCAATGACTTTTAAACTGTGCGCCTAAAACTGTTATATTGATATTTTGATATTGATAAAGCTTTTACCAGTGGCTCTTAAACTGTTACTCGCCTACACTTTGACTGTGTGATGTTGAGAGATTACTGATGATCCATAGACTTTTTGCTTTGTAGTTTGATAACTTTAAAACTGTAAGTCAAGGGCAATACTTAAAAACTGTGATGGTAAAAGAATATATTTAATTTGTTATTTTTTCCAATTAGGGCGCATTTAAAATATGATTGAAACTTTATTTGAGGATCGATAGCTGCTATTGCTAAATATATATTTTGCTTGATCTTCGAAAAAGCTCCTCAGTAGCTCTTCTCCTCTCACTTATAAAAAAGGATACTTTAAAGTCTTTACCTTCCATAGTGCTAGCCGAGCATTGCACAAAGCCAATATTCTCTTTTGACTGAAGGAACAGAGCATAAAAACCGGATAAGCACCAAAAAACGAACAAAACTAGTTTGAAAAAAACACAAGTGAAAACGAATACTGAATACCCTTAATATTTAGGAGCCAAACTGCGATATATTCGGAAATTTTTCGATTATTTTGTTTATTCATTTCATAATTTTCTAGTGTACAATAAATAAACAAAAATATAGCAAATTCAAGTGTGAATCTCATATTTATTCCACACTCATTTCCAATCCGAAAGATTCAATATTGAAATTATTGTTGCAAATGGCATTTAATATAAGACATATCCAATGTTGGGCTAGGTAACCAGGTGGAAAGCAGTGAAAAAGAAAGAAAAACAACAACAAATAATAATAATAAGAGGAGCGGCAACTGTAACTTTGCTGACTGTGCGAAAATGTGCGACGCCATTTTGAGAGAACGCACAAAAGTATGCTATAATTGAACGTTTGTTTGTTTCGCAGGTGTTTCTGCCTGTGTGTGTGTGTGTGTGTGTGTTTAGATGAATGTGCTTGTGATAAATGTACACACGTGTGTGTGTGGGAGTGTGGGTTGTGCAAAATGCTGGAAAATTTGCTGCACATATGCATGTCAGCAGCGCCCATAATGGCAATACCATTGTATGTACTTTGAGTTTTCAATTTCAGCTTTTTGCCAGAAACAGAAACAGAGATAGAAACACAGATAGAGACAGAGTGCGAGCAGGTTGGGCGGGGGAGGGGGCGAGAGTGCCCGGGAGAGAGTTAGCAAACAGCGGGCCAGGGATTATGCTGCGTATTGAGTTGGGCATACATCCATTTTGGTTTGCGTTCGCCTTTCATGCGCTTCACGCGAAAAACAAAAACAACAACAAAAATAGACGAAATTCAAAAAAGTCAATTCAAATGGTTTTTGCTTGTTTCAGCTTATGGATTTTCGCCAAACTGCCGTTGGGGTAAATAAAAGCGACCCAAAGTGGGCACGAATAACGCAAATTTCGCCTGTCAGCCAAAAACAAAAAGTAAAAGCATCAGCGAGATGAAAATTGATTGCGAAATTTGAAAACAGATTTCAAAGTCCAAAAAGTATGACAATTTCAACGATTATAGCAAATGAAATAAATTTCTGGGACTTTGACAAATTTATTGGGTTTCACAAATCCATCAACGAGCAAGCCATAAGGAATGGAGTTTTTCTGGCCGTATCGCGCTTTTATCGCTTTTTTATCTTCTAGAAAGCTAAGCATCTTTTAAGCATCACTTTCTTATCTTCTATATGTTTCACTAGATAACAATGTCGCCAGGCAGATACATTTACGATAGCCCGACTCTTTTTCTAGCCCTTTTTTGTATTATCGCCACACTATCTTCCTGGCGATAGAGCACTGCAACTAAGCAAAGTGAATGAGAACGAAGTTGTTTTGAATGGCAAGCACTGTCAATGCTGGAAAGACAATCCAACTGAATGAAATGATTCGTTCACATAACAACCGACTGGCTCACACATATGCACACCCACTCAGACAATCAGACACATACGCACACACACACGCATACACACACTCAAAGCGGACATTGAAGTGCACTTAGTTGCCAAAAAGTTAATAAAAATAAGTGCCTCTTGGCCGTTGCCAAGTGCCAGAGTCCGGCAAGCATATGAAGTGGCTCGAACTCGGATTCGGGCATCAGCTCCGACCGACCCGTCCGACCCGCCGAACCGGCGCCCAGAAACGATTCAAACCGTACCGTACCGTACCGTACGCAGCACGTGTACCGACGTTAAGTAATTTGGATTTGCCCAGCTGCAAAATGTTACCGTTGTTAACATGAAGGACTTGGCCAAGTCGAGGCAGGCCAAAAGGCCAGGCACTGCGTCTGGGACATAAGAAAAATACCACAGACTTTGAAAATATAATAACAATGCCCTGGCCAAGGCAGCCAACCATAAATGTGGATAATAATTGCTGTAGCTGAATTCGGCATTTTAGAAGAACTTTCCAAGTGTTGAGCCCCAAAAATCTAAACGAAATATGCAATTAAATGTTCGAAATTGTGAGCAAAAATAACTGAAATAGTTTTCCAAGCCATTTCGACCCAATTGCTTGTTGCATGATTTTCAGCGTGAGCCCAAAGATTTCAATTAAAATTTAAATTAATTAAGAAATTGCAATTCCACAGTTTTTGAAGCGTATGTCAACTTTGACAAGCCGTTTAAAATGACGATTTAAATATGTATTAATCCATGTTTTTGTGCTGCACTACCCGACAAAATTTGACTGGCAAAGTTAACTACCTTTTAGATAGCTAACAAGATCTATTTACAGTGTTGCCACCTTGCAATTTAAAGCACATAGGGCAACGCTAAGATATATTTGCGTTTAAAATTTGATTGCTTAAACAAGGGAAAGTATATATTAAACAGGTATTTTGTACGAGTGCATTTAAGTATTATATATGTGTGTTTGTGTGTGTGTGTGTGTGTGGGCGTGTGTATGTTAGTGTATGCATGTATGTATGTATGAATTTATGTATATATGTATGCATGCATGTTTGTTTTCTAATACCAAACGCAGACCAAGCTTGTCTGTCGCCCCGTGCACATTTAAATAAAACGAATTTTTACCAAGTGCTCTCCTCCTCGATTCTCAAGAATTCAAGTAGGCTCTGCAGTTTTTGGTGCATGTTTAGTTACTGCCTGGCAAGTGGCTTGGCGATGAAGTTAGGGGTGAGTATGTTTGTAGGTATGTAGATATGTAGATGTGTTTGTATGTATGTATGTTTGTATGTTTGTATGTTTGTATGTTTGTATGTTTGTATGTTTGTATGTTTGTATGTTTGTATGTTTGTATGTATGTATGTATGTATGTATGTATGTATGTATCGATGTATGTATGTATGTATGTATGTATGTATATATATATATATATATATATATATATATATGTATGTATTATTGTATGTATGTATGTATGTATATATATATATATATGTATGTATTATTGTATGTATGTATGTATGTATGAATGTATGTTTGCATATCTACAAACAAACATGCATATATAAACATGATTACAAATATGTATATGCAGACATGCACACAAACATACATGTATGCATGCATATGTTATACTTACATGTGCAAAAATGCAAAAACTGCGAAACACCCATCTGTTGAATTTTGACGAAGATCTTTAATAAGGCTTTTGAGGCCGATCCCCGCTTTAACGCGAACCTTCATAATATAAGGTAACTACAGTGAAAATTTCAGTTTCCCAGCTCTTACGGTTTCGGCTGTGAGTTGGTCACAAATCAGTCAGTCAGGACAAACAGTTTTATATATAGAGATAGATATATGGTTTTTATGTTATCAACATTGCGTTGCCACTACTGCACACGATTTTACAGTTTCATTGGAAGCGAAAACGATACGCTTGGCAATTAGACAGCCGAATGTATTTTACAAAGCTGTTCTTGGAAAATATTTCTGTCAGCCAGAGTTGAAATTCTGTGGAATTGCACGTGCGCCTCCTCAGGCAGCATTAAACGTACAATTTATGTGGGCAGCTCTGGACATGTACGGAATTAAACGGAATAGAGAAGGGGATAGGGGGCTGGGTTAACTCAAAAATTGCTGTGACCCAGCAATTTAATTAAGCTAGGCAAAAATGTGCCAACTACTTAAAGAAGTGGTGCGCACAAAGCCGCTCAGACTAAGATCCCGTAATCGCAATTCTAATTAAGTGCAAATTTCGAGGACGAAACCCGGCTGCAAACTGGGTGCCCGCTCCGCAAAATTGTGTGTTGTCGCCTAGTTTATTTCATCTCGATTTTTTTTTTTTGTTGCCTCTACTGCGCCAGCTGAATTTAATTAAATTTCCACACTTCAAAGCGTGCAATGTGCAAAACCCAGTCAAAACGAATGAAGTCAAAAGAACGACCAAGCAATAAGAGAATAAAAAAAAAACAAAAAAACAAAAAAACATGAAAATGTTTATAAGGGCAAAAGGAAATCTTAATTTTATTTTGCTTTCTCTTTTTTTTTTTAATACATTTTTTTTCATTTCTCTGTTGTCTTCGTTATTTTCTTCAACTTTGTTGCCATCAGGTTGCAAATTGTTGGCAGCTGCCTTTGCTTTTGCTTAGCTGGTTTCTTTCTCGGGTTTTGCTTTCGCTTCCCTTACTAATTAATTTCGATTCATTGAGCACTTTACAAGAAATTACACACCCACTCGACACCCAACCTGTTAAGTGTTTTTTTCTTGTCATTTCTATTCCCATTTCTGCCCCAGTGCCAAGCCGAATCCGATTCCCATTACGTTTTATACTATTAGTTGGAAAGTTTATTTTTCTTTTCTTTTTTTGTTTGTCATTCTCTATTTTCTTCTCTTTGCTTTCGCTTCCAGTCAGCATCAAAGGCTCTCTAACTGAATGCCCCCAACAAATGAGCGTTTCAAATTGTTGCCAACAAATTTGCTGCCATTGAGGAAATGGCAAGTGCGACAGAGCGAGACAGTTGGATGGCTCCAACAAAGGCGCACTAATACCAAAATAGCTGCCCATACAAATGCTCGTGCAACAACTTTTAGCAGTCAGTGTATACAACACTATCTACCAGCTGTATGTGTGTGCCATTGTATCATTTGCGCTTCGTTACTTTCCCCTCTTATCGATGTGTCAATTAGATGGTCTTACTGTAATCCATGTGCTGGATGTTGGCATTGAGCAAAAGTACATATCGAATGACTTGGAATAGCTTAAAATATCCCATGTATTCCCTAGTTAATGTCACCAACTTTCTGCAAGCAGACAAGCGGGTTTCCACATTGAACAAGCTGTTCAATTAATTTATAATACTTAAAGATACTCTATAAATGTGCTTCATATCAATTTTAAAAAATTCTACCTATCATTTATTTATTTTCTCCATGGTCACCAGCTAATTGCGTCGGAGCTTAATAAGTAGAACGCTCTAGCTGCGCGGCATTGACTCGGAGATACCCTGTAACTAATTTTCGAGTGAACCAAAATCAGCATTAAAATATTATTGAACAGAAATTAATTCTAACTTCTCTTTTTTAAAACGGCCAAAATTGATGTATATGCAAAACCCAGCTTAAAATCGTTATAAATAGATGTCGATATCGAGAGGAAAAATGCATCGCATTATATAATATAATGTGCCAGGTATAATATATTGTACATTAGATGATAATGCTATATATTATGTGGGGCATGCGATAACGAAACTTGTTGTCCAAAAATTCCAAAATCTAGTTCCAAAAGAAAGTTTGTTAAAGGAGAGTTTAATAAACTTAAAGCATCTGATAAAATTTTTTTTTTAAAATTTTCTCTAAATATACAGAAATGTTCTCTAAAACTATCTGACAAAGGCAGACCAACACATATTTTATCTCGACAAGAAGGAATCTTTTAATTTACTATATATGTATATCCACACAAACATATACACCCCTTCAGACCATTTTCCATGTACACAGGGTATACAAAATTTGTTGCTAACTATACATAACCTGATGTGCGCAAGTGGCAATCATTTTCAGAGCGAGTTTTTGAAGTGCTCAAACAACAACAAAAACTAATTGAAAACTTTTCGTAACTCAGCAACAGTTTTCACATACGTATTTTCCTTAACGGAAAACTCATGTAGCATTTTCTAGCATCAAAAAGGTTTGAATATTTTTAATTTGCAAACAAATATTAACATTTCCCAAAAGTTAAAGTTTAAAGTTTTAAAAAAAGCCCTATTTATTCTTATTTGCATAGCATTTGTTATTTTGGGCCAACTAAAACAAAAATATGTCACAAAAACCGCAAAACCTATTTTCCTTTACTGAAACCAATTATTTAAAAACATATTCGCCAGCGCTAATAAATTTTTTAGCAACTAGTGACAGTTTTAGAAGCATAAAGTGCAGCTCTTAAATAATAAATTAGGGTAATTTAATTAGAAATACGTGGCCTCTATACACTTATAAAAATGTATAATAATTTATAAGAATTTTAAATGACCATGTCTCGGATCGAACTTCAGTTGCCCGAAATATAGCTCTTTAAATTTAATAATTTAAAATAAATACTTTATTCGGAATTCTCTTGTTTTCAGGCAAATCTGACATGTTCCGAAGAAGAACTTATATGTTATAAGTTATGGCTGAAACAAAAGATACGGTAATATAAATTAAATAATTAAAATAAATCATTTATTCTAAATCTTTTATAATTAAGGAACATCTGATACGCCTCAAAGGAAAAAATTATATTGATCAAATATAACTGTGACGTTGTCAACAAAAGGATCTACCCACCAGGATTCTCTAGTTTAAGACTCATACTCACATTTAACATAATTAAATAAGTAAAATAACTAAACATTAGCTTAAAGTATGCAAAAGAAATTTGCGATCGTTAACTTCACAGTCGACTGTTAAGTCAACAGCCGCCTAACATTTTTACTTCTTAAAGATTTCTGTTCGCCTGGTACTTGAGACAATTTTTAGTTCACACCTCAAGCTTCAGTGGGCCCTCAATTGCCGCCCCATGCGCGTATGCAATGAAATTTGCATTTACAATATTTTTGTCTGCCTGCTGGACATTTCTGTTCGCCTGTTATTTCAGCTGCAATTTTTGTTCAAATCTGAACCAGCCAGCGGTGGGACTAACAACCGTTGATATTTGAATTTTGTCTTCCAAATGGCAGAAAACCAAAAAAATGCATTTATTTTCTTATATAATTCATTTTTATCATATAAAACTTACATAATTGTTGTTTCTATCATGTACTTTATTAATTATCTTTCAAAATTTAATTATTAAAAAAGAAGTAGATTACATCTTTTTTTTGGATTTTGGATGGCAATCGATAGTTGGGATTCGTACGAGTAGAAAGAGGTATATCCTTCCGAAATCGGACTGTATTTTCCCGAGATATTGCACTTCGAAATTTTATGAAAACTTTAAATGGCCATATCTCGGTCAAATAAAGCCCGATCTCGGGCAGATTAGGTGCGTTGAACTCATGGAGGTCCATAGAATAGATTGGCATCAAAGTTTTTTGACTTCGGAAAAAAGTCATTTTTAGCAAAATAACGTGATGTAACCACTGCATTTTTGATCAATTTGGGTCATCTCTTAGAATGTGGATTTTTGGATGGCAATCGATAGTTGGGATTCGTACGAGTAGAAAGAGGTATATCCTTCCGAAATCGGACTGTATTTTCCCGAGATATTGCAATTCGAAATTTTTCGAAAACTTTAAATGGCCATCTCTCGGTCAAATAAAGCCCGATCTCGGGCAGATTAGGTGCGTTGAGCTCATGGAGGTCCATAGAATAGATTGGCATCAAAGTTTTTTGACTTCGGAAAAAAGTCATTTTTAGCAAAATAACGTGATGTAACCACTGCATTTTTGATCAATTTGGGTCATCTCTTAGAATGTGGATTTTTGGATGGCAATCGATAGTTGGGATTCGTACGAGTAGAAAGAGGTATATCCTTCCGAAATCGGACTGTATTTTCCCGAGATATTGCACTTCGAAATTTTATGAAAACTTTAAATGGCCATATCTCGGTCAAATAAATCCCGATCTCGGGCAGATTAGGTGCGTTGAGCTCATGGAGGTCCATAGAATAGATTGGCATCAAAGTTTTTTGACTTCGGAAAAAAGTCACTTTTAGCAAAATAACGTGATGTAACCACTGCATTTTTGATCAATTTGGGTCATCTCTTAGAATGTGGATTTTTTGATTGCAATCGACAGTCGGGATTCGTACGAGTAGAAAGAGGTATATCATTCCGAAATCGGACTGTCTTTTCCCGATATATTTCAAAATCAAATATTTTTAAAAATCTTCAAGTAGCCATATCTCGGTTAATTGAAGTCCGATCTGGGTAAGAGTTTCTAGTTGTGGAGGTCCATAGAATCGATTGTTATCAAATTACAGTTTTGAGATTTCAGAAAGGAAAACTCCAATTTGCGTATTTGTTTTATATCATTAATTGATTTCCCCAAAAATTTAAACGTATATATCTAACATTGTTTATTAGTCTACAAATTATCTTTAACTTAATATAACTTTATCCCGGCTAGTTGCAAAGCGTTGCTGAATATAACATATGGACTCTTGAATGGCAATAGAATCCATTACCATCCAAAATGGTTTCTTCAATCTGAAAAGATAAAAATGTATTAGAATTAAACAAGTAAGAAGCAACAAGGATCAAACATTAAATGACCATTCTTAGATTAAGTCCGTTTTGAGGAAGTTGCGGCATTTCAGATCGAATTTAAGCTCAAAGTAGGACTTGAACTTCCCACTTGAGGAAAATGCGTGGAAAATGCTTGCATGTTTTTAAAGATATGAATGTATATATGAATCTATATGTATGTAAGTATGTGGTCTTACACCAAAAGTAGACAGAGGACATTTTACTTATTTTGCCTTCAGTACTATTAATTCAGTACTTGTAATTCAGGAAAAGAGCTAAAATATTAAATAGTTTTCTTTAATAATAAAGAAAACTTTAAAAAAAACTCATATACTAAAACAACTTTATTAAATGTTGAATCCTGCTGCTACACCTATTTTCACAAAAAAAATTTTTTTGTAATATAAAATTGCCAACTTTTGCTCTTATTCCACAACTCATCCATCCTACTCACACGTTTCGTGGAAACTGTTAAATTAAAATGAATATATATATAAGTTTTCAGCAAATACAAATTAAACACAATATGTGAAATACTAAATAGCTGAGATGCCAATGTGCAAATTGCTGGGTAAACTTTACATTAACTGAAGGTTCGCAGGAAAAAACACAAACAGCAAAGCCGCACAGAGTGAGCATGTAATAAAACAGTACGAAATAAAAATTAAATACCATAAAAAAAATAGATATAAATAAAAATTGAAACAAAAGAACAGGGGCGAATGCTGGTGTGGCAGCAACAGGAATTGCAACAGCAACAAAAACAAAACCCAAAAAAAAGGCAGCCGCATATTACGAAAATGTATTAAATTTTTAGCATGCTCATTAAAAAAATATTAAAATAAAATTTCTATGGTAACACAGACACACACACACATGCACTAATAATGGCCACATGTATTGTGAGAAATGAAAATAAAAATGTGAAACCGTCTGCCTGATGGCAATAACATGAGTTGCCTCCCCATTTGTGAGTGTGTGTGCGTGGGTGTGTGTGTGTGTAAAGGGTGTACCGAGACCGCATGAAAATTGGCATCACACAGAGACAGAGATACACAGTAAAACAGTACGCCTGCACATTAAAACAACGCCATGTTCTGGCGCCCAAACCCTGCTGCCACGCCCAATTCCCAGCGAGGCGAGACAGCAGCAGCAGCAGCAGCGAAGGGAAGGGGAGCGGAGGGGTGGAGGCGAGGTCAACAGCAGGGGCTGAGTCAACGATATGTGAATATCAAGATTTAATTTAAAGTTAACTAAGTAAGATTAAGCTTTAGCATTGCACTCACACACACACACACGCGCGAGCGCATATGGCCATTCGCAGGGTGCAAACGTGTGTGTGTGTCTGTGTTTGGGTTTGTGTGTGGGCAGCGCAGGGTCGGAAGGGAACTCTCGTATCAAGTAGAGCAGAAACTCTTAATAAAGCAATTGCCTCTGGCAGTCAAAAAGTAAACGTCGACGTCGTGCAGCAACCTGATTACGACAGGGGTGACGGGCGGAGCGGTGCGGTGCGGTAACCACCTCGGTCCAGGGCCACGACCTCAAGCATACATCTGCCTCTCTGTATGTGTGTGTGTCTGTGTGTGTGTGTGTGTGAGCTTTCATACGAACGACCTTTTTTCGAGACCCATGACATAGCGGCAGTTAGTTCGGCCACTTTATAGAGCCGCTAGCTCGCTGCGCTGCGGATCGCTGGCTGCCTGGCTGGGCGGGCGGGCGGTAATCTGGGTGGTGTTTTCTGGGTGGGTGAAATACCGGATATGTGCAGCTGCAGATGAAAATTGCACGAACAACGAACGCCCAGCAATATCAACTAACCATAATTACATATTGAATGGCATAACCAGAAGAAATTCGAAACGCCAAGCGAAGCATAGCCAACTATGAACTGAATTTAATTAGCTTTGCGCTACAGATTACAATATCACAGTGGAACGAGTTAAAACATTTAATGTACAAAAGAATTGTATATGATAAAAATTGAGAGTTTTCAAGGGAGTTAGAGGCTAAAAGATCGTGAAAAACACAAATTTCCAGATACATAATATAAGTACAAATTTTGTAAAATTTGACTAAAGCCCCAACCCGTCTATAACAAATGTTTCTATGAATCATTTTTGGCTATTACATATTTTATATGAATTCAAAAAACGTAAACCATGAAAAATATTGAAGTAAAAGTAAAAATGGATAGCTTATACTTTGAAAGAAAATTGAAATATCGCGAAATAAAATTTTCCACAAATTAAATAATGCATTTTAAATGCATGCGATTCTTGAACCACAATTTATTTATATTCAAGTAATTTGTTTTCTGTTCCAAATTACTTGAAACACAAAAATTTAAATATGAATAATTTAAAATATTTCTTTCAGATATATTAACGCACTTAATGTGTGCGTAAATTGTATTATCAAATCCAAAGCAAGTGTTATTATTTTGGAAAGTTGACATCGTTTGAAAATATATAATATTTTCCTTTTTTCACTCAAAAATATATAATATTTTTTCAACATTTTAATATTTTTAATATACAATAATTTTTTTAATACTATGAATTATTTTTATTCCAAAATTCATTTAAAAAAAAAAAAAAATTATTTGCATATTAATTGCATGATTATTTAAATGATGATATGATGGTCGAACGACTAATTTCTGAAATATAGCTTTACACATTTTACTGCATAAGCATACATAGATCAAAATTAAAATAGAGAATATTTAAAAAAATTATGTACGAAAAAACAGTTCTCGCTCCACTGTGCGCTGCAGCTAGCAAATCTGTGCAGCAAAGGGCAAATTATATAGCAGCAGCATATTATTTGCAGCCCAAGCGACAGCAACTTGGACACATGAAATACAGCTACCATGGCTACAACAACAACAATAATATTCCCAGCTACAAAAGCAACAACAACTTAAAGGGCTATAAAGACTGGCCATGAGGATACAATAAAAATCCCCTCCACTCGTATTATTATCTCCATACATGAAGATATTCAAAGCGCTGGGGGAAATTTAAAGATAGAGAGAGAGAGAGCGAGAGAGCAAGTGGCGGCAAAAAATAAATTTAATGTAAACATAAAAGCAAGTTTTGGAAGAAGCTAGTTTTGCATTTTATAATCAGCGCAAAACGCGGGGGTTGGCCGCGTCCCACCCTCGATTAGGGTTGACTGACGATGGGTGGAACGGGTCGAACGGGGCTGACAACGTTGGCATGGTGTCTTCTGATGAAGGGTAAAGGGTGACTACTCGACTACTCGACTGCTGTCTGCCCGGTGCTGTGTGTGCTGCATTTGATGATGCTTGGCTGGTCTCTCAGCCTCAGCCAGTCGGTGCACCAAGTGGCAGCTGTGCGCAACGGGCAGCGGGGGGGAGTCGGACAGACGCACATAGCCCGGAGCCGTAATAGTGCGGACTACGGACTACGGGTTCGGTTTCGGGCTCCGGTTCGAGCTGGGGCTGCCCTTTGTGCTTTGTCAAAGGGAAATTTTATATGATTTTTAATGCTTCGCGCTTCATAAAAATGTTGCCGTGACTACAGGAACAGAATGCAAATAAATTGGCTTCACATGGCTTCACATCCAATG